TAAAATTTTATATAAATATAATATATAAAATTTATATATAAATGAATCCCATTCATAAATACATTCTTGATGTACAGCTAAAAAGAATAAAGCAATAACAACCTTGAAAATTTAGACAAAATGTTTTAAGTTTCCAATGTACTGTAGTGTTTGATACTGCATGAACAGGCTTTCGTTATGCTTCAAATGTGGTTTCCATAACAATAACAGATCCATTGTCATGCAACAAAGACTGGGGGAGAAACATAGAAAATCGAAAAGTTGCTGCCCTTTTAACAGTGCTTTGGAGATCGAGGGGAGGGAGACCCTTAATTTTAGGGCTAAAAAGGTTGCAACCCCATCCTAATTTAGGGCACTGCTGTCCCTAATAAGCCGTTGCTGATGACACTGTTCTCCGTAATAGGATGGCTTTTGACTTCCAATGAACTTTTGTAAATAGGGATTACTACATATACTATGTTGTTTACTTAATTAATTAGCAGGTTAAATTATATTTAACAGTAAATACCTACGACATCATTAGATTAGGAGGATTTGTCCCTCTATCTAAGGGATTTGTTTGATTTGGTTATTTACATCATGGAATTAACTATGATTCAAATTATACAATACTTCTTATAATATATATATATAGATATATGGATATGGAGCCCTAAAATTATAGGGAGTGAAATACAACTCTTAATCTTCATTATTATTATTATTATTATTGATAATAGAGAATTTTAGGGAAAGGAACTTGGGTTTAAAACTTAGGTTTTAGGTGTTTGAACACTTTTTTCATTAAGATAATCAATAAATCATAACGCGCTAGACTTTTAATCCTCATTATTATTCATTGTAACTATGCATGATTGATATTACACCAGCTCCATGGGAGGGATGATTATATTAGATTTATATTTTAAAGAATTTTTATTTCTTAATAGATTTTTTTTTTTTGCCAGACATAGATTTTTTTATTTTTTTTATTACTATTTTGAGAATTAACTTGAACGTCTGAGGGTAATTCCTAAATTCTTTTAACTCGAAATTGTCAAATTTGTTAAAATTGAAAGAACGTCCTTAACTGTTATCTTGTGACATATATTAACTAAAAAAAACTGTACTGTGTCAAACGGTATAAACAAAGTTCTTTTTTTTTTTTTCAAAAATTGGGCCGGTTGAGAAATCACCAACACATGCATAGTGGGCCTAAAATCTGCTTTATACGGACCAGTCGTCAGTTTCAATCTAAAAAAAAGGCTTATATATATCAACCAACTATTAACTCAACCATTAACTCCGAAAAAAATTTTCATGGTAAAAAAAAAAAAATTATGCACCACGTGTCACTATTCTATTGATCAATGTTTTGACCGTTCGTCGAAGGTAGCTAGGTTTGACCGACCTTCCAAATCCGACGTGTAGGCCAACGATTGGGAGTTGCAACGTGGAACCGCATGCAAATCCCCGCATATTTGTTTCTTTCTTTCTTTTTCTTCTCCCTCCCGCTCCCCTCCCAATCGAAATTTGCAGAACCCAAATTCTCCCACGGAATCACAAGAATACGTAGCCTTTTGTATATAAACAGTACCAAGATATAATTATATAGAGGGGAGGGAAGAGAGAGATGCTGAATCTTTCGATTTTCTCATCCGCCATGGATGCAGTCGCATGGAGAGGATTGGGTTACACAGTCTTCATACTTCATTTCGTGTTGCTTTGTCAGCTCCTGCTCCTGCAGCCTCTCGTTTCTGCTTTAGGTTCGTAACTGCTACTGTTTCTGATTTTCTAATTTCAATCTGCTTCTGAATCGCAATGCCTTGATCTGGGTGAATTTCTGGTTTTCCTGAATTGCAGAGGGATTAAAGGCTTTGTTATTTTTTAGGTGAAAATGTAGACTATTAATTTTATCGAAATTTTTGGCTTCCGAGTAAGTTTGAGCAATTTACTTGCGAATTGCAATGCGGGGTTTGTTTAATCTAATTTTATTTTCTCAAAGAAACTATCTTTTTGAGCTATGATTCGATTGGGAAGCAGTATTGGCAACCCTTTTCGCCTAACTCTTTCTTATGGGGTGTTGCTTTGAAGTTCAGTTAAGATTAGTGCACATTCCTAACCATCCGCATCATGGTTCTTTCAATGTCAAAGCTGAGAAGTGTTAGTTTTGAGGTTTTAGCATTATCAGTGGTGATTTCCTGCAAAAAATCATTAGTTTCTAATTCAACTTGCATCTCACCTTCTTCTTCTTCTTCTTCTTCTTCTTCTTCTTCTTTTTTAATAATAATAACTTGAATCTCACTTTGATGGGACCATAAATTGGTAGTGACTCATTTTCAAGTTTGATCATCATGATTGGTTTCTACCTTAGCTTGCTAGTTGCTGGTGGAGCAGAATTGTCTACTTAGATAGTTGAAATAAGAAAGCAATTATCTTTCTAGGTTTCTCATACTTTAATTTAAAATGTAGTTACTAAACGTGGATTGAGGAGGCACACAGCTTGCAACCATATTTTTTTGTTTTCTCTTGTGTAATTATGAAAGTCTCCAACAAGTAAACAACATTTGCATATTGTTCATATACTCCTAATTGGTACTTTTCAGTCTTTATTGATTTGATCATTAGGGATAGCTGGATCAATGCATGCCCTTCTTTATTTCTTCATCACTGGAAATTCCATCTGCAGCTTGGGAGCTGAATGGCATCCTATCTATGCTATGTCAATAATATTTAATTTATGTAACATGGTCGTGCAGATGGCAAGGCAGGAAATGCTGCTGATTTGTTTGAGAGGGTTTCACAGAGCGTAAAAGTGAAGCACTACAGTGAGGCACTTAATGATCTTAATGCTGCTATTGAGGCAGATCCATCACTTTCAGAGGCATACTTTCATCGTGCATCTATTCTCCGTCAGCTGTGCCGGTACTGCTCTTTGATATTATTTTCTGTCTTTTTCACTGTATTTTATTTTCAAGTTTTGCTCACTAGAGAAAACTTCTTAAGAATTTTTTTTTTTTTTTGAAAATCTTCTATGGCCTATTTCATTGTACTTTGGAAATTTAAGAATATTTTACAATATAAAGCATGTTTGTCATACTCCACAGGAAGTATTGGAGTAATTTCCCCTTTTATGATTTCTCTGGAATCTGAAAGGAAAAATCTACATCTCTTCTAGCTCTATAACTATCCATCTTCTGATTGTAAAAGCAAATGACAGGAGCTTTTTCAATGGTGTAGATATGAGGAATCTGAAAAGAACTACAAAAGGTTTCTGGAGCTAAAACCTAGAAATCGAGTGGCTGAAAAGGAGCTTTCTCAATTGCACCAGGCTGAGAGTGCTTTGGAAACAGCTTTCAGTCTCTTTGATTCTGGAGAATATGGAAAAGCTTTAGAATATATAGATAAAGTAGTCCTTGTTTTTTCGCCAGCATGTGCGAAGGTATACCTACCTTGATTTTCTTTGTTTTTCTTATTTTATATTTCCTTAAGTTATCGCTCACATCCTGCATTAATGCTTCTAATCTAGTAGTTTAGCAACTTATCGCTAGAAGTTAAGGATGTGCTTTTGATTGGTTGAGTACTTCAAAGCCTTTATCATGCCTTGTTCTCTGTTTGTTGCAGGCTAAACTTCTTAAGGTAAGGTTGTTACTAGCAGCAAAAGACTATACTGGTGCAATATCAGAAACTGGGTACATTCTCAGGGAGGATGAAAATAATCTTGAGGCATTACTCCTTCGTGGCCGTGCATACTACTATTTAGCAGATCATGATGTTGCCCAAAGGTTTGTTTAATAACACTTACAAGTTCCTAGGAAACAATATTATAGATTCTTAGTGTTCTTGGCTGTGTATGGAATTGGATTTTAAGGTGTAAATATTTGTTCAGACATTACCAGAAAGGTCTCCGCCTAGATCCAGAGCATGGTGAACTGAAGAAGGCATACTTTGGATTGAAGAATTTACTCAAGAAGACTAAAAGTGTAAGGCTGCTAAACTTCTTGAAATGTTGCTCCCATTCACCCTTGTTTCAAGCTCGTTAACATTCTTCCCCTCATGGAAAATCTTATAGGCAGAAGATAATGTCAATAAGGGAAAGCTGCGCCTTGCTGTAGAAGACTTCAAAGGAGCACTAGCTTTGGACCCTAATCATCTTGCACATAATGTACACCTTCATCTTGGGTTGTGTAAGGTCTTGGTCAAGCTTGGGAGGGGAAAGGATGCTTTAAGTTGTTGCAGTGAAGCACTTAACATTGATGGAGAGCTCACTGAAGCTTTAGTTCAGGTTTGCTGTTGTTTCCTTTTTCCATTGGGAATTATATGACCATTCATGTAGCTTTATAGATGATGACTCTTCTGGCTTCTTCAACTTAATTCAAATTTTTCAGAGGGGTGAGGCTAAACTTTTAACAGAGGATTGGGAAGGAGCTGTGGAAGATTTGCAAGCAGCAGCTCAAAAATCACCTCAGGTTAGGTATTTATTGAATTTGGCTGAGTTGTGCACAATAAAAAATTGATCTCCTAACATAAAACGGAATCTTTTATGGCAATATTATAAGTAAAATCTGCGTGTGTTCTGGATTATGAGATTTAAATTTTCCTAACTGAGCAGGATATGAGTATCCGTGAAGCACTGATGAGGGCTGAGAAGGCTCTGAAAATGAGCCAACGGAAAGACTGGTATAAAATTTTAGGAGTTTCGAAGACTGCATCTATATCTGAAATAAAGCGCGCGTACAAGAAGCTAGCTTTGCAATGGCACCCAGATAAAAATGTTGATAACAGAGAAGAAGCAGAGGCCAAATTTCGAGAGATTGCTGCTGCATATGAGGTCTGTTTCATTAATAATTTGAATTAGTTTGTCTTCCCTATTGTGTTTGAACTTCAGTTTTATATTCATTCAGGAGATTCTATGATCAATGGTCCCTTTTCTAAACAAATATTTATTTCTTTTGCCTTTGACTTCCATCCATTTGCAAATAACTGAGGCGGTTAAGATAGTGTCTCTGCACTACATATTTCAGGAAGAATTTCAAGCGATCATAAACTCACTCAGACATGCAATATGCAAAACATGTTTTTAACGCTTGAAGTTTTCATTTATATAGGTGCTTGGAGATGAGGAAAAGCGAACAAGATATGACAGAGGAGAGGACATTGAAGACATGGGTATGGGAGGTGGTGGTGGTTTCAACCCTTTTGGTGCTGGGGGACAGCAATTCACCTTTCATTATGAAGGAGGCTTTCCTGGAGGATTTGGAGGAGGCTTTCCTGGTGGGGGATTTGGTTTTCAATTTTGATTTGCTGAAAGCTTACTCTCACCTAATGCACATTACAAATGATGCAGTTGTTTTCTCAAGCCCCTAACACCAATCCGCCTTAAGCCTGACAGCTACAGGCAGTATGTAACAACCATCTGATGTGAACATTGTATTCTTTAACAAAGTTCTGCCGACATCGAATATCTTGATTTTGAAATTTATCAGATTACAATAGGAAATTGATTAGCATTTAATTTAGTTGCATCTTTCTTGTACTCTTCTTTATTGATAAACTCGAGTCCCAAAGATATGTATCATAAACTCCATGGACTTTTCATTCCTCTTCAAGGATTTAATAAAATCATGCTATGAGTGATACGCCACAATTTAAATTTGCTCGAAAAATGTTTTATCCTTGTAAATCCGAATGCAAGCATCATATTTTTATGCTAGACTGGTAGTGTGAACTGCAGTTACAGACAAGGCGGAAGAGAGAATATTCAAAAAAATAGTTATTCAATATCAGATCAAATAATTTCAGCAGTTGCAGACAAGATATCATCTCAAAAACAATACAGAAACTCAAAGCTGTAAACATATAGCTAAAAGAACTGCAAACCCAACAGAAACCATCGGCAGCCCATGGGAATCCAGTTTCATTCCACTGGATGTATTAGCATCAGCAGTGCCTCCAGCTGGAGAAGCTTTTGGAGTAGAACCCTTCTCAGGCGTTGACGGTGCAGGAGCAGGGGCCTGTGATGATCCAAAGAGCTGCAATGGAAGGAGCACCTGATCCACCTGATAAACTGCCAGCTTACTATCAGTGTACATGGTGTTTGCCACTGTCGCATCGACAACTCCCGTCGATATGTTGACTTGATTCCCCGAAGACGTGATGTTCAATGGGAACTCTCCGCTCCCTGTGTCACCTGCCTGTGTTCGCAATGGATTGGTCACAGTTTGGAACTGCGGCATGGAAAGCATGGTGGGGAGGATATGGTACTGCACCAGCTGGACCTTCTGTTGATCACTGAGAGAGTTCAAAGTCCCTGGCTTCAGGTTATTGAAAGCATTATCCGTTGGTGCAAATATGGTAAGGCCCTGGTTGGAGTTGTTGAGCTGAGCATTTATCTGGTCGGCATTCTGAGTACTCTTCAGTAGCCGAATGAATGACGTGAATTGTCCACCCTTCTCGAGGATGGCCGTGATATTGTCAGGCCCTGCCGGTGCTGGCACAGGGGCTTGAGCAATGGTTGAAGAGCAATGGAGAAGGAAGAAGATGGAGAGAAAGAAAAAGGAGATTAGCCTCTTTCTCATTTTTGTTTTGTTGTTATCAAGCGACAAAAGCAGTTTAAGTGTTTTTGGCTTTGGAGGTGGGGAGAGGGATGAGGGGGGATATATTGAGGGTAGTGGTAAAAGTTAGGTGGTACTTAAATTTGTGGCAAGAGAGATGTCAATGTATCTTTCTTGCTAAGGCATTCCAATCAAGAGAGTGGGTCTTGGAAGGAAATGATTTCATATGGCTTTTGCTTGTTCCTAGGGAAAACTTAAAACAGAAACCTTCTTTCAAGTGCTTCAATACAGTTCACGTTACACCTTGTAGGGACCATAATTTGTTACAATTGCAATGATCGAAAAAGAGATGCCATCACATTTCTTTGACAAGCTTTGTTCTTTTCTATGAAGAAGCTGAAGCATCTGCATCACCTTAAGAGTCTCTTCAACCTATTAACAAATTGAAGCATTTATCCATCGGTAAGATTTGAACTTTTTGACTGTTTATTTAAAAATTTTAAGTCTTCTCATCAACAAACTCTAGTGAATATGTGATTTGTAAGTACCACTATAAAATTATATTGAAGCTGGTGGCACGTCTTGACCTTAAAATGGGGTAACCTCCAATTATTCTAAACTTTTTAATGTACAAAAAAAGAAAAACAAAAAGAGACAGCTTTGAATTCTTTGAGATGAGACCCCAACGGCCAACTATCGCTCAAATGGTTCAATTGATAAAGGGTTGGATTTCACGTTTAGGCCCAGCTCACTACCATGACCATGGGCATCGACCTCCTTCCAGGCCTCCACTGTACTGTCTCCAGTAAAAATAGATTGTGCTACTTGAAGCCCAATTAGCTGCCTCAGCCCATTTCAGTCCCAAGAACCCAATGGAACATTAGGGATATACTAAAATCGCCCATCGCATATACTTAAAATAAAAATGACATAGAGTTAAAAAAAATAATAAAAATGACATAAGCAAGAGGGGCGACTCATGACTCTCCACTTATATGCTAGATCCATAATTTGAGTATTGGATTAGCATTTAAACAAATTAATTAAATTTTTTAAACACATTAAATTAATTTGGAGTATAACCTTATATCTTAAAATCTCCTAATGAAAATTAGTTTTGTAGTGTTACTAATCTAAATAACTCAATTGTAATCG